GTTTCGACTAAATAAAACTAAATAAATAAAATAGAAATATTTTATTTAAAACTTTTATCTTCTTTAACCAAAATTATATCCATTTTTCATCTTGCATTTTCACCTTCAAATTGTGCAAATAAAAAACAAGAAAAGCAATTAACTCATTATATGGATTTATTATGTAAAAAAAAAAAAAAATACAATAACCAAGACTTACGACATCAAACATTAAATTCGCAAATTGAATAAATTTACGAATTTGCTCACTTCTTTCTTTCGTCTTAACTGTTTTCCAGAATTGTACCATGTATTCGTTTTCCTTTAAGGCTAATTTTAAAATGCTCTGTTTCTCTCCTTTTTCAGACTCTTCAATCTCTTCAAGAATGTCCATAACAAACTCCATAATCCAACTTTAATCTGACCAGGGTTGGCAAATGTGTGGTCCATTGGGTCCATTAGTGTAGCACTTTAACCATATTTAGTATTTTATTAATGGCAATGGACCAGTCAATTTGCCAACCCTGCTTTAAAGTACATTTGTGGATTTGTCCTGATGAATGTTTACACAATCTCACACGCAAATCAGACAAATAATAAGTCTATTTGAAATTAAATAATTAATAATTGACATGTATTAATGTAATAGAAGATGCAATGGAATAGAAAGTTTTTACCTTATTTTTTTCAATTTGATTGTAGAACTTCACATGATCGCCAAATGCTGTTGCTCTGATTTCTCCCTGATTATATTGATTATAGATTATGTAGTAATTTAATCTTTTTAGAAAATAATAGTAATATTCCAATTAAATTCATACAAATCTATCTACCAGAAGAACACCAAACATTGATCCTTTGTTCAAAAGCCCCTTGTCCCAGTGTATTATTCCTGGTTTGGCTGCTACATATACTTTTGTAGTGAATCTAAATAAATGATCATGATACATAACTTTTTAATGAAGCCATAAAATCAATATTTTCAGAAAATAATCAATATGCATACTTTACTGGATGCTCAATTTCATTAATCTTTAAAGTTAAAGTCCTAATAAAAAAAATAAAGCTATTATTATATATAACTAGAGTGACGATGAGTGGCAGGCGATAACCACCACCGCCATCCTTAAAACACTTACTCATGTTGTTCGTTTTCTTTTTGTTTACTTAATTTTTTTAAAGTTGGACATTTTTAAAAATCTTTATGGGAGGAAAAAAAAAAAGAAGTTTATGATTGATCGACGCGTACACATTAATGATATATAATACTTAGAATGATAAAATATGACTAATATTGATTACTAATCTCAAGAGCGCATCATTGATGGATGGATGGATGACATAAAAAAAATTGATTGTCAATAACCGGGACCCCAAGTCAGATATGTAACCATGATAATTGATTACATTTTTTTGGTCTTCATTAAAAAATCATAATTTTTTGTTAATTAGATTTAACTTTGAACTACCAACCATTGAAATATCGAATTAGTTAATTAAATTTGAAAATAGATATGTTAATGCAAATGTCTTTGGAGTAAATATTTGATTTTAATGTTATTTAGAGTTTATTAAAAAGGAGAATTTATTTTTTGCCAGAAATCTTTCTCATCTGTTATTGTAGAAAAACAGTCAGAAAAACCTATAATAGTTTAGTCTAATACTAATACTGATATAAAGAGCATTGGATAAAGAAATAGATCAACGCCCAATGTAGAATTAATCAAATGATTACCAATACAAAATACCAAACTCAATATATGATAAATCTACCCCCCAGGAAAAGCATTAGTCATAAATCGCTTTGTCATATATCAATAAAAATTAAACATGCACACACAGCAGATACAAAGTCATATCATTCCCCCTTAATATCAAGTCAAAAATTATTAACCAATGATTGATGTGTGAAGTCCAAGTTAATGGGTGATGGTGATCTACTGATATGGATGATTTAAAATTTTCACTTTTTTACTCATTTGATATTCTTTTGGATCTTTGAATTTCACCACAAATTTGGATCATTGTTAAAAAACCTTCTCATACTTAATAATTAATAATAATTTAATAAAAATGCTCCATTTGAGCTTTTGTATGAAAAACCCCATACAAGAAAATAATCTCTCAACTAATTCTGAGCCAACACATATTCCAAACTATGCATTGCAACAAATGGTAACTTATAACTGTATCTGCTACCAAGTTTCCAAAATTTCAATATATTGTTGTTGAATTGATTATATGGTTAGAATAGGAAACTTTCCATTATAACAATCTTCAAGTTCTGATAATAATATAGTTTTAGGACCTTTTCCAATCCAACATACACAATAATGAATTAATCACTTATTTGAGCTGTGTAATAATGTCCTTGATGGTTTCGTTATAAAATTTCGTTAATCTATACTTTGGATGTAAAATAAGAGAAAACAACAATAAATGTTACAATGATAGTGGTATTAGATGTCAAAGTGTAACTTACATTTGAACTAGCAATTGTGCTTGCATTTTTATTTGTATCTGTATTTATATTGGTTGTTGGGAACGAATTATGTACTCTATCGTTTGGTATAATTGAATTTCAGTTGGCATTTTTTTTTTAAAATAAATAGATGATAAAAAAAACATGGTCACATGATTATATGAGGATTTTCATGTGAATATTATTGAAATCGGTAAACTTGACAAGTGTTCGTACTCCTAAAATTTTTTTATTAAATATTAATAATTAAAGAATAAATTTTTGTCGTGAGAAAATTATTTGATTTAACATAGAAAATTTATTTTAAAGAAAATGTTTATCATTCAATGGTTTTTTGATGTTTTAGCATCTTTAGGTATGGATATAGTGGAGAAGATCTTTCATTCGTCTTTACTGAAATGTTATATATATATAAAGGCTTTAAAAAATCTATAACTAATGAATAATAATTTTTGTTATTGGTGTTTTTAGGTCTCGTTAATAAAAACGCTAAAATTTTATTTTTGGGATTAGATAATGCTGGAAAAACAACTTTACTACACATGTTAAAAAATGATCGTCTTGCAACATTGCAGCCAACATTACATCCAAGTATGCATTATTTTATTTATTTATATATCAAAGAACTAATATTAATTGTTTTCAATTTATGTTACAATTTAAATAGCTTCGGAAGAATTGGCTATAGGAAATGTTCGTTTTACAACTTATGATCTTGGTGGGCATCAACAAGGTAATCGAGTAATTAATTATAATATTATTATATTTGTATGATATAGAATAAATAATAAAAAAGGAGTGAAAAAAAGGGAGGAGAGCAATCATGATAATTTATTAATCTTTTTATATTTGATAATGTATAGCTCGACGTCTTTGGAAAGACTATTTTCCAGAAGTTTCGGGTATTGTTTTTATGGTCGATGCTCAAGATCGTGAAAGATTTCACGAAAGTAAAATTGAATTAGATGTACGTAAAATATTTAAGGATATAAATAAATACAAGTGTATGCTAAACGCAATAACAATAATATAATCTCATCAGCAATATTAATAATCCATTTTAATTAAAAAGGCACTTCTTTCCATTGAAGAACTTTCAACTGTGCCATTTTTAATTCTAGGAAATAAAATTGATGCAGCTGGTGCAGTATCCGAAGAAGAATTGAGACATGCACTTGGATTATATCAAACGACTGGAAAAGTTTGTATATTTTTTCCTTTATTATTGAACATTATTTCTATGATGTTTATTTAATATATAAAAAATTTAGGGTAAAGTTCCATTGAAAGATATTCGTCCAATTGAAGTTTTCATGTGTTCAGTTGTAATGAGACAAGGATATGGTGATGGTAAGTTCACTTACAAAATTAATGATAATGATATTAATAAATATTTATTTATATTGGTTACATTATTAATTTCTTAAAATTGGTAATTTATATTTTCTCAAAATGAATAATTTTCCTAGGATTTCGTTGGGTATCTCAATACATTTAGTTGATATAATAAAGTGGTGCAGCATTTTTTAATAATTTATTTGTATTATAAAATTATAATTACTCAAATAAAAAAACAATTATTATCATTACAAGAGGACTTTTGAGAGAACAAAAGAACGAATGAAGAAAAGTCAATATTTTTTTCACTAATTATACAATAAAATAAAATAATATATATTTAAAAAATCTCTTACAAAAAAGTATTTTATATGTATAAATTATAGATATATATCATAATATTAGTATTTTATTTAGTATTTTTATTTATAACAAGATTATTTATTTAATTTATCTAATAAAACCAAATAATAATATTCGTTATGATGGATATATACATTTTTATCTTAACAAATTTTTTTATGGAAAAAAAAATTAAAAGCAACCAACTAGCATTTGAGCTCGCCTAATTTCTCTATTCACTTCTATAAGCTTGATCAATTGCATTTTGTATTTCTTGCTCAAATTCTGCAGTCATTGGATGTCCAACCCAAATTATTTGGTTTTTAACTAAAATGAAAGCAGTTGGTATTCCTTTTTGCCCGCTTGGAACAAAAATATCTGATAATTTTATCATTATCATTATTAATATTAATTTTTTTTAAAAACATATTAATATACAATTATTATTAATATTTACTAGTTCTGGCCGATCCTTCAACATCTACTGCCACTCTATAATTCATCTTGTCGCCCATATCATCAATAAAGGTTTTCACTGACTATAATAATAATATTATTATTATTTAGTTAAAAAGATAAATTTCGAAACTCCCTCAAATATTTTCGCACAAATATTACTCAAAAAATGTTAAATCATGAAAAACCAATTACCGATATCTTATCTCTATAACAAAAGATCCCCAATATTTTAACATCAATCAATTAATTGGATGTATATTTATAATTTAATAACACAATTTTTTAATTCAAAACTTGTATTTATATTTACTTTTCACTTGTTATTCCAACAATTATAGCCTTTTTATATTTATTTTGAATTTCGGATAAATGTGGGATACTTGAATATCATAATTCATGTTATTATTGTATATTATTGTATATTTTTTTATAATAATATTTTGTTCTTTTTGCTTACGAATTCCTACAAGGTGGGCACCAAGTTGCCCAAAATTCAACAATTACCACAGGACTCGAGTCAGGTTTTCCAATGGTGATTGGCTCTCCCTTAAGAAATTCAAGACCTTCAATAGCTGGTACAGTTGTTCCAATTGACATATTATTTATTTATTAATTAAAATTTAAAATTTTAATAATTGAAAAAGAGATACAATCATGTCTTCCATTTTACCATTATATACAAACAGGATAAAATATGTAGATCGTTGCGCGGAAGCCTGTTGTAATCAGTCAGTGGCTTGGTTAAAATCCTAATTTAGTAATAATTGTCTTGGCTAAACTTGACAAAACTTGTTAATAATTTTAGCCAGTTTGCCAAGTGCTCATTTGGTTACGAGGCCCCGGCCCCTGATTGTAATAACATTTACTGCGTCAACGGCCAATTTTCAAAAGTAGCTCGAAATTTTTGTGTTTGTTTTTATTCACGTGATCTTGATTCTGCATATTTAATTTTAAAAAAATTATTATTTGAGTTCACATCAGTATAAACGCAAACATATAAAAATCATATATGGTTCGCGTCACATCAAATTGCTGCGCCACATGTTGCAAAGGTTTCTTTATTTTTTCAAATTTGTGATCACATGATAAACTTAAAAATTTTATTTTTTTAAAAACTAGTTCCCAAATTTAAAAAAGAGTATGTTCTATATAAATAAATATTTTGTAAATAAAATTTTAATAAATATCATTTTATATTTTTAAAAGATGATGAATTATTGTTTAATAATGCTGTTGTAAATGATGATGATGAATTATATATTATTGTGAGCAATGAAAATAATGATATTATATAAGTGATTATAATTTAACTGACAATTCAGGTAGTGAGAATAAATGGAGCAATATAGATTTGACAAAACAACTTGTGAAATCATTTGAAATTATTTACTAAATGAAACCTAGATTCATTTGAGGTTCTTAAAGAAAACTTTTACAAAACCTGGTGCATTTTCATTGCCCAATAAAAGACCATTAATTTATTCTGGTGATGCTAAGTCAACTTTACAAAATAAAAATCATGCAAATAAACTTGTTGCAACTGGATCTAAAAAATCACATCATTTTTCTCATCACAAGCATCAGGAATTGTTTCTTCTTCATCAAATAATGCTAGTGATATATCTTCCTCTTCATTAAATGATTCTGATATCATACCTATCTTTGATGTGGTAAAAAACAAAAGAGAATTGGACCCAAGGTTGCAGTATACTTAAGACTTGTCAATTCATGTCACAAAAAAATGGATGCCAGCAATATTATTGCACAATCCTTAAATAGAGGTACTTGGTGTGCAAGATTAATAGGAACTTGGGGAAGCAATATTTAAAAAATGGTGAATTGATAACATCCAAACAAGTTAAACATCAAAAAGTAAAAGTCAATTATCTATGATGAAGATGTAAGGTTGAAAGTTTCAGGAAATGGTGTTTGAGAAATGGTACTCCTAAAGGTATAATTTTAGAAGAAAGGAAATTGTGGAAACAAGGATTAAAAAAGATTTGTTGTGACTGTAATAATAATAATAATAATAATATTCAACAAAGAAGTGATTGTTGTGCATCAAGGATACTTTCTTTAGAACATGATTTTGCTTCCCAAAAATCTCTGCTTTCCAAAATAATTGAGAATACTGATCACAAGGTAATTTTCTATCCAAAATTCCATTGTGAATTAAATTCTATTGAGATGTTTTGGGGAGCAACCAAACAATATGCTAGAGAAAATTGCACTACTCATTTAAAGGTCTTAAGAGAACAGTACCAGAAGCATTGGAATCTGTTACTTTATTGAAAATAAGAAAATTTGCAAGAAAATCACAAAGATATATGAGTGCCTATATGATAGGTTAACAGGTAAACAGGCTTTGTTTTCTGTAAAAAAGTATAAATCTCATAGGCATGTGACTTTTTCAGTTGTGGATGAATTGGATATTATTCCTTAAACTGGCCATTGTACAAATTTGTACAATTAAATTTTTTCATTAGTGCTGATCAATTTATTTTAGTATAGTACGATGCAAAAAGTAGATTAAATCACTACATAGTAAACAAATCTTTTTTTTTAGTAAAACAATTTTTTTTTTACTGATGATATTCTTAACAATACTTTGTATTTCATAAAAACCTATTTTTCTTTGAAAAAAAAAATTTTTTTATTTTCGCTATATACACTTTACATTGTCTACCAAATCTTCCCAGGGTAAGTTTTATAATAAAAAAAAGTCCACCAAATCTTCCCACTGTTTACGGTGGGACAAAAATACTATAGAAATAGACAAATAACTGATCTTTATTTAAATTTTTTTTTAGAATAATAAATAAACAT